ATCCTAGCAAAGTGAATCCAGAAGCATTTTAAAAGATCATTCACCATGATCAAGTGGGATTTATACCAGGGATACATTGGTTCAACATATGCAAATCAATAAGTATGATACATCATATCAATGGAAAGAAGGACAAAAGCCATATGATTATCTCAGTTGATGCAGAAAAATCATTTGATAAAATTCAACATCCCTTCACAATAAAAACTCTCAACAAATTAGGCATAGAAAGAATATATCTCAACACACTAAAGTCCACATATGACAAACCATCAGTTAATATCACACTGAACAGGGAAAAGCTGAAAGCTTTTCCTCTAAGAACTGAAACAAGACAAGGATGCCCACTCTCTCAACTCTTATTCAACACAGTACTGGAAGTCCTAGCCACAGAAATTAGGCAAGAGAAAGAAACAAAGAGTATCTAAATTGGAAAAGAGGAAGTCAAACTGTCCTTGTTTGCAGACAACATGATCTTATATATAGAAAAACCTAAAAGCTCCACCAAGAAACTCTTAGAACTGATGAGCAAATTCAGCAAAGTTGCAGGATACAAAATCAACAGCATTTCTATACACTGATAATGAGCAATAACAAGCATGATGAAAAAGAAATCAAGAAAGCAATCCCATTTACAATACCTACCAAAGAAAAAAAATACCTAGGAATTAATTTAACCAAGGAGGTAAAAGATATCTACATGGAAAACTATAAAACGCTGATGAAAGAAATTGAAGAGGACACAAAGAAATAGAAACACATTCCATGTTCATGGATTGGGAGAATTAATATTGTGAAAATCACTATACTATACCAAAAGTGATCTACAGATTCAATGCAATCCCTATCAAAATACCAATGACATTCTTCACAAAATAGAACAATCCTAACTTTCATATTAGAACCACAGAAGACCCTGAATAGCCAAAGCAATTCTAAGCAAAAAAAACAAAGCTGGTGGCATCAAACCTGACTGCAAAATATATTACAAAGCTATAGCAACCAAAAGAGCATGGTACTGGAATAAAAATAGACACAAGACCAATGGAACAGAATAGAGAACCCAGAAATAAAACCATGTATTTACAGCCAACTGATTTTCAATAAAAGTGCTGAGTATTCACTGCGAAAAGAACAGTCTCTTCAATAAATGATGCTGGGAAAATTGGATATTTACAAGCAGAAGACTGAGCCTAGAGCCTGTATCTCATTACACACAAAAATCAACTCAAAATAAAGACCTAAATTTAAGATCCAAAACTATGAAATAACTGGAAAAAAACATAGGGGAAACACTATACTAAATGGGAATGGGAAGCACTCTTTTTGAACAAGACTACAAATGCACGAGCATATAAAGCAAAAATACACAGATGGGACTACATCAAACTGAAAAGCTTCTGCACAGCAAGAGACACTATCAACAATGTGAAGGAACATCTACTGAGTGGGAGAAAGTGGTTGCAAAACACACATCAGACAAGGCACTAATATCTAGAATATATAAGGAACTCAAACAACACAACAGCAAAAAAAAAAACAAGTAATCCAATTTAAAAAATGGGCAAAGGACCTGAACAGACATTTCTCAAAAGACATACAAATGGCCAACAAGCATATGAAAAAATGTTCAACATCACTAATAATCAGGGAAATGCAAATTAAAACCACAATAAAATATCATCTCACCCTAGTTAGAATGGCTATTATCAAAAAGACAGAAAATAACAAATGCTGTGAGGATGCAGAGAAAAGGAAATTAGCTTACATTGTTGGTTGTAGTATAAATTGTACACTCCATTGTAGGAAACAGTATGGAAGTTCCTCAGAGAATTAAAAATAGATCTACTTTGTGACCCAACTATCCCACTAGTGGGTATATACCCAAAGGAAATGAAATCAATATATGGAAAAGACATCCGTACTCCTATGTTAATTGCAACACTATTTATAGTAGCCAAGAGATGGAATCAACCTGAATGCCCATCAAAGGATGAATGGATAAAAAAAACCCTATGGTATAACAGACACAATGGAATACTACTCAGCTATAAAAAAAATTATCCTATCATTGCAGCAACATGGATGGAACTGGAGACCATCATGTTAAGTGAAACTAGGCACAGAAAGACAAATACTGGGCTTCTGGTCAAGATGGCAGAATAGAGAGTCCCCAGTGTCACTCTCTCCCACAAATTAACAAATTTACAACTAAAAAAGAAATGAATGCCAAGCTGGGACCACTAGAGCTCAGGGGAAGAGGAGGAGAGACCTACGGAGTTCATGAAGGCAGGAAAAACCACAATGAGACAAAGAGGATCGTTCCCACCATTTTGAGCCCCAGTCACTTCAAGGCTGGAGCTGGTGAGCACATGGAGCAAGAGCTGGCAAAAGCTGCCACTGTGCCCTGTATAAGAAGTTGCTTGGAGATGGCAGGGGAGAAGAGGGCCTTGGCAACCCCCAGACTAGAAAGACCACTAACAGGGTTCCTGTGGACACACATAGGAGTGAGAAACCACACACAGCAGGAAAAAGGAGCCACTTAGAGGCTGGTTAGTCATCACAAGGGACCAGGGCACAGCCTACCTTATGGGAAGTGTTTGGAGTGCAGGCAGTGGGGGATACAGGCCTGCCAGGGGAACACTGGGGTACAGCATGGACAGCTGACCTGTCCTCCAACCAGCGCAGGACCACTCAGTGCAGACTGGTCAGGAATATAGAACTGCAGGGGATGTTGTTTGCTGAAAAAACTCAGGCCCAGACCAGAGTTTCCAAGCAACCCAGGTGTACCAGATCTCAGGAGACCCAGAAGTACATAAAAGGTCAACAATTAAAACTTGAGCTGCACAAAAGGCCTTCCCCAGGGAATCAGCATCAGTGAAGCAATTTAGCTTATTTCAAATACAGGGCTCAAGTGCTGATCCCCACAGGAAGTTCCTCCATATTAGAAGTAAGCAAAGGACAACAAATTAGTTCCAGTGCAGAGTTTAAGTGGTGGGAATAGTGAATCCAACACAGAACTGATACCCACAGATCAGAGACAAATTTTGGCAGTAACTAGTAAAGGTCTAACACCACCAAAGAAAACCTATAAAACCTAGAAGGACTGAAAGCCCCTTGGGCTCCCAAGACAGGGAGAAGGGAAGGCCAAAGGCCTCAGCCATGCCCCCCTGACATCCACAACCAGTCCAGCAACCACCACCAAGCCACCACAGGAAGGATCCCAGGCTCCCAAGCTGGGGCAGTGGGGTGTCCAAGGGCCTGAGCCATGTCCCTGACATCCACAACCAGCCCAGTGACAACCACCGAGCCATCACTGGTAGTGCCCCAGGATCCCAAGCCAAGGTGTGCAGGGTTGGGGGCCTCAGCCACACCCCTCCAACATTTGCAACCAGCCCAATAACAAACCACCGAGCTGCTCTGAGGCATGGAACTGGGGAAGCCAAACCCAGCCACAACTAGGCAAGCTGCCATCACTGCCCCAGGGCCCTGCCAGGGTCCTGAGGCATGGATCGAGGGGAAGCCAAACCCAGCTGCATCTAGGTAACGAGCACACCAAAAATACCATTTCTACATGGGTAGCCCACCACAGCCACTGCAATTGCCACAGCTTCCGCAAAAGCAGTCACAGTCTCCATGCAGATGGCATGCCAGACTTTCAACCTCTCAACTGCACTGATGCAATGAGAGGCACCAGCAGAAAACCAAAAAAAAAAAAAAAAAAAAATCCTCTCTCTCCACAAAGCACATTCCAGAATAATAAAAGCATCTGATTTACGATAATAGGGAAAAACTTGATCACCCCTGTCTCAGTACTGGACCGATCATCTAGGCAACAAACCAAAGGGGGAACAGTTAATCTATCAGAAGGAGAGAACAAATCTATAGTTATTAGAATGGGGAGGGGAAGGGGGAAGAAGAAAAGCGGGGGGAAGGGAAATTGGATAAGGGGCATAAACAGTAAGTATGATTTGTAGCAATGAATATGCTAATAAAAAATAAATTAAAAAAAGAAAGACGAATACCGAGTGATCTCATTCATATGTAGAATCAGAAAAAAAAAGTGGTTCTCATAGAAGTAGAGACTAGAATAATGGTTACTGAGGTGGCGGGGAGTAAGTGCACATAGGGAAATGGTTGATTGATGGGTGCAAAGCTATGCTATCCACCCTAAATGAATCAATGTACAGAATATGCATGGATGGAAACACCATAAGGTAGCCTACAAATATGTACAAATAAATGTTAAAAAAGGGGGGTATAGATTCATAACTAAAAAAAAAAAAGATTATTCCAAATAATACTTAAAATTCCTCAAGTTTTAAAATTAAATTTTGTAACAATTTAAACTAATCTTTTGAAAGCAAAACACTAAAACTGTATAATTCATTCTTCATTTCAAACATGCACTGAATATTTCAATAAGATTCCCTTTAGAAGTGGTCTCCATAAATTTTGTCCTTATACACCAAATTCCAGTATAATAATATTCAAGTACATTGTTAAAAGAAAAACTTTCCAACAAATTAAATTTAACATAGTTTATCTTAGCAAAGAATGATTTGTGAATCAGGAAGCCCTCAGAACCGGATGAGGTCATGAGAGCTCCACTCCACAGCAAGGCAGACAGAATTTATAGACAGAAAATGGAAGTGAGGTGGAGAAGCAGCTTGATTGGTTACAACTTGGCTTTTGCTTTATTTGGGCATGGTCTGATGAGTTGGCAGCCTGTGACTGGTTAAAGCTCAGCTGCTGTGAATTACTAAGATTCAGCTAGTCATTACAAAAGTATACTCCTAAGCTAGGCTTTTAGTTTATTTATGTACTGTTAGGTGGCATTCCTTACGCAGGGACTCGGGGAGGCAGCCTCAGGCCAAATTTCATTTAACAATATGTGCTAAGTTCCTAATTATAATAAAAAAAATTAACCATTTACCTACATAAATTATCATTAAAAATAATTTAACTTATTGTCTAGATTTTTCAAAATGTCCACCTACCAGCCAGTGTTTCCCAAAGCAATAGAAACAGAACTCAGAAGAAGGTTGCACTTAGATTCACTGAGAACAGCATCACTGTGTGCAGCAGGGGCAATCACCACAAACTCCCGCAGCCCATACCTTGAAAAAAGAATCACTGATTAAAACAGGTAAAACTTCAAAATACAAAGGCCATTATTTGAAAAACCTGAAAAAATCTCCCCACAGGAAATTTAACAAGTCAGGTTTAAACTACAGGTGTTTCTTTTTTAAATGGCAACTAAACCTACAACCTGAATTGTCTTTGTTTAAGAAGCACCTCCATTATGCACCTACTAGCTTCCTATCTATTCTTTATAAAATGGAAGCAATTTGCTGAAATCACAAAGGAAAAAACCATTAAATAACAGTTTTGCCTTAAAAGTTAAGTTTACAAGATAGAAAAAAAAAAAGCAAGCACTGAAATCTTGTTTTAATTAACTGACAACATTAAGATGTGGAAAGTAAAGTTTGACAGATTCCCTAAATGGCAGAAAAATAATTATCAGCCATGACTTACATGTGCTGTCTAAAAGTGAGAACACAGTTTACTAAGTATCCAAATTAAGGAATTCTTGTATTTTTTTTACTCAATAACACATATTAGATAGGAATCACAAAATTATCAAAAAACCACTCAATCTTGCTATGATACCTACGTTAATGAAAACTTCTCATTTAGTTGCCAAGTTCTTTAAAACCACAAATTTGCTGCAAAATTTTACAAAAATATAAGGTCAAGTTGGTGACCTTGTCTACCAAAAACTTATCTCCTATCCACTCCTCAATGTATTTTTATTTAATATATTTTTAAATTAAAAAAATTTATGAAAGATATTACTCATTTGCCTAATTTATTTAAGTCTCTGGATACATAGTTATAAATGCTTATTTTTATGAAAATTCTCAAGAAATCCCCCAAATAACAATACACAAAGATTTCAAAAAGTCTAATTTATAATCTGTTTATTATTTACATGACAAAAACATTTCATTTCCTCACCTCGCCTCCAACCTCCTACACCTAAAATCAAAATTAGTTATGTAGAGGCAGCATCAAGTAACGGAAAGAATCCAGAGCTTCAAATTTTAAGCTCTAAAGTTCTTTAAAAATACAGTTTTCTTTTTTTCAAATGTCCTCAGAAAAAAAAAAACAAAATAAGTGAACATTCCTCCATGCCATCCCCCGCACTAGTGTGAAACCACTGTCAACAGTATCTTGGTTATTCTTCCAGAAATGTTCCATCTGTCCACGTAACCACCCTACCCCCAAGTAAGATTATACTATATATACCTTCTATAGCTTCTTTTCAAAGGCCAATCCCCTACTGATCAATACTTTGTTTCCAGTTTCAAGCTGCTACAACAATATTGCAATTATCCATTTTTACAAGTAGATCAACACAATAAATTCCTAGAAGTTAACTTGCTGAATAAAATAACATTTGCATTCGTAACACTGATTGCTGTTGCCAAATAACCTCCTCACTGTCCACACACACACACACACACACACACACAGTGTGCCAGTGTATATTCCCATTAACAACAAATAAGCCAGACTGAACTGTTTTCTACTACTCTGCAATATACTATTCCCTGTGCCTTACTTTCCTTTATCTGGAACATCTCCCTTCCCCCCACTATACTGCCATCACTGAATATCCAAACCCTGATGGATTCATTCTAAAAAGATTTACTTCAAATATCATTCCATCATGTTTGCTAAATGTGCTCTCATTTCTGAATTCTAGCATCTTTTTTTCTATTATTATAATCTTTAAAATGTCAGAATAAGTTATTGATTTACTTTTCCTACTAGGTCTACTTGAAGCCTGAGACTTTCATCAACTATTAAAAGTAAACAAACATTAAGTGGGGGCTTTAAAAAGAGCAAAAATCAACAGCAACAAAAAAAACAAACCAACAGATTTAAAGATGGGCAAAGGACTTGAATAGACATTACTCAAAAGAAGATATACAAATGGCAACTGAGCACATGAAAAGATGCTGAACATCACTAATCTTAGGGTAATACAAATCAAAACCACTATGAGATACCACTTCATGCCTATTAGGATGACTACTTCCAAAAAAAGGAAACGAGTGTTAGCAAGGATATGGAGAAACTGGAACCTTGAGCACTGATGGTAGGAATGTAAAATGGTACACCTGCTATCAAAAACAGTATGGTGGTTCTTTAAAAAATTAAGCATAAAATAACCATTTGATCCAACAATTTCACTTCTGAGTATACACCCAAAAGAATTGAAAACTGAGATTCAAATAGATATTTGTACACCTATATTCATAGCATTATTCACAATAGCCAATAGGTGGAAACAACCCACATGTCCATCAACAGACGAATAGACAATCAAAATGTGGTATATTATATATAACGGAATGTTATTTAACCCTAATAAGGGAGGAAATTCTGATATGTACTATGACAAAGATGAACCCTAAAGAAATTAAGCTAAATGAAATAAAAGCCAGTCACATAAGAGAACAAATATTGTATCATTCCACTTATATGAGGTACCTAGTAAAGTCAAATTCATAGAAAGTAGAATGGTGGTTACCAGGGAACTTGAGGGGGGAAGAGAGGAAGTTATTGTTAAATGGGAATGGAGTTTCTTTATGGGATGATAAAATTCTGGAGATGAACAGTGGTGATGGTTGAATAAAAATGTGAATGTACTTAATACCACTGAACTGTACGGTTAAAAGTTGTTAAAATGATCAATTTTGTTATGTATGTTTTACCACAATAAAAAATGAGCAAAAACTAATACATATTTTATAGAATTAGAGATATAAATGGCTAATAATCCTATTAAAAGATGCTCAACCTCACTAGTTATTAATAAAAATTAAAACAAGATATCACTTATTATACATATTTTATAGAATTAGAGATATAAATGGCTAATAAGCCTATTAAAAGATGCTCAACCTCACTAGTTATTAATAAAAATTAAAACAAGATATCACTTATTGACCTATTGGCCAAAAGTATAAAATACTGATAAGCACCAGTGTTGGCAAGAATGCTGGGATATGCCACAGGTGGTGGTATAAACTTTAAAAACATTTTTTGAGGGCAAAAAGGCAGAATATATCAATATTTAAAATTGACAAACCTCTAATTACATCTCTTTACACTACAAAAGCATTCATACAAATGCAAAAAGATATATGTATAATAATGTTCATTATAATATTTAATTGTAAAAAACTAGAAACAGCCTAAATATCTTACAATAGAAGAGTAAGTAAAAAATTATGGTACCCCCCCACTCCTGCACCCCACCGTGGAACACTTAACAGTCATTAAAGATAATAAGGTGTATCTGAATGTAGTGATATAAAAGCTATTATGAAATGTTGAGAAAAAATATATATTTCAGAAAATGTACAGGAAAATTGCATTTACAAGAAAAATTGCCAAAACAAACACACACAAAAATATATATCTAGAAGGGGGAAACTACAAAACTCAAATGAGAGATATCAGAGAAGAAAGAAAGAAATGGAGAGAGATTCCATATTCATGGATAGAAAGACAATATTGTCAAGATGTCACTTCTTCCCAACTTGATCCATGGATTCAATGCAATCCCAATCAAAATGCCAGCAAGTTATTTTGAGGATATTGACAAATTGATTCTACAGTTTATGTGGAGAGGCAAAAGACCCAGAATAGTCAATGAAACATTAATGGAGAAGAAGTTGGAGGATTAATGCCAAATATCAAGAATTACTAGAAATTAAGACAGTGTGATATTGGCAAAAATTAGACAGATAAATGGAACAGAATAGAGAGCCCAGAAATAGACCCACACAAACATAGTCAGCTGATCTCTGATAAAGGAGCAAAGACAATATGATGGAGAAAAGACAGTGTTTTCAACAAATAGTGCTGGAACAAATGGACATTGTCATGCAAAGAAAATTAACCTAGACACAGACCTTACACCCTTCAAAAAACTAACTCAACATGGATCACAGGCCTAAATATGAAATGCAAAGCTATGAAACACTTAGAAGATAACACAGAAGGAATATGACTTTGGGTTTGTTGATGACTTTCTAGATGCAACACCAGAGGCACAGTCTATGAAAGTATTGATAAACTGGACTTCATTAGAATTAACAATTTCTGCTCTGCAAAAGATACTGTCAAGGGAATGAAAAGACAACCACAGACTGAGACAAAATATTTGTAAAAGATATCAAAGGACTGTTATTCAAAATATACAAAGAACTTTTAAAAGTAAGAAGAACACAAACCACCCAATTAAGAAAACAGGCAGACTTCCGGTCAAGATGGTGAAATAGACGGTCCCCATTGTCACTTTCTCCCACAAATCAACCAATTTACAACTACAAAAAAACAACAGCTGCCAAGCTGGGACCACTAGAGCTCAAGAGAAGAGGAGGAGAGACCTACGGAGAAGACACGATGAGAGAAAGAAAAAAAACCACTGACTACTTCAAGCCCCAGCCGCTTCCAGGCTGGAGCTGCTTAGTGCATGGAGCAGGAGCTGGCAAAAGCTGCAGGTGTGCCCTTCAGACGAAGTTGCTTTAGGCAGCAGGGGAGAAGAGGACCTTGGTGATCCCCAGGCAATTAAGACCACTAATAGGATTCCCGTGGGCCCACACAGGAGTGAGGAGCCACAACAACTGAAAAAAAGGAGCTACTGAGAGGCCAATGAGTCACCACAAGGGAATGGCGCACTGCCCATCTCATGGGAAGTGTTTGCAGCACTGACGGTGGGGGAGATGGGCCCAGCGGGAGAATACTGGGGCACAGCAAGGACAGCTGATCTGCACCCCAATCAGCACAGGACCACTCAGAGGAGACTAGTCAGGAATATAGAATTGCATGGGGTGCAGTTTGATGAAAAGTCTCAGGCCCAGATCAGAGTTTCTACACAATCCAGGTGCACCAGGTCTCTGGAGAGCCAGAAGTACCTACAAAGTCAAGCATTAAAACCTGAGCTGCACAAAAAGGCTTCCCTAAGGAATCAGCAGCAAGGCAGCAATTTAGCTCAACCACACATCTCATGTACTGGTACCCACAGGAAGTTCCCCAT